GGTAATTCGCAAGGGTGAAACCCTAGGGAAATGGGACAAAGAAGCATGGTACGATCCTAGTACGCGGGAACTGCCTGGAGACATGCTGGAACTGTCCCACAAACTTCCAGAAATAGGTAGGAATAAAATCGAAAACCTGATGATCTTACTCAATAACAACCGGAAGACAGGTCGCCTACCTGAAGAAATGGTGACGCTTGTATCCGAATATGAGGATGTGTTCGCAATCTCAGATTTAGGACTCACACAGACCAATTTGATACATCACAGCATTGATGTGGGAGATAGTTTGCCCATCAAGCAACGCACCCGACCTGTGCCCTATGCTCTTCGTAGCCAGGTGTGTGACATGTTGGTCGACCTCAAGAAACGGGGCATCATTGAGGATAGCTCCTCCCCCTGGGCCTCACCAATAGTCCTGGTGGCCAAAAAGGATGGATCGATTCGGTTGTGCGTTGACTACAGGGAGTTTAACAAAGTGATCAAGGAAGATAGTTATCCCTTGCCGCCAATAGATATGACCCTTCAGAATCTTCGTGGAAAGCGGTATTTGTCCTCACTGGATTTAGCGAGTGGGTACTGGCAAATACCCTTAACTGAGGAAGCTAGGGAAGTCAGCGCATTTACCACTACGGCAGGGCTTTTCCAGTTCAGAGTACTAACATTTGGGCTTTCCGCGGCGCCACCGGTATTCCAAAGATTAATGGAGAAAGTCCTAGGACCGCTTATGGGAGCAGAAGTTTCCGTATACATTGACGATATGCTTGTAGCAACAGAGACAATGGAGCGTCATGTCGAGGTTTTGAAACAGGTCTTCCAAGCACTACGCAAAGCGCATTTGAAACTCAAGCCACAAAAATGCCGTATCTTGGAAAGCTCCGTAGAGTTCTTAGGACACGTAGTGGATAAGGTTGGCTTTCGAACCGATCCCGGCAAGGTAGAGAAAATTCGAGATTATCCGTAGCCCACAAATCTACCACAATTGAGGACCTTTCTGGGAATGACAGGCTATTACCGCAAGTTTGTCCTCCGATATGCGCAAATAGCACAGCCTCTCTATGACCTCACGAGTACGAAAACTCCATTTCTGTGGACGGGGGCACATCAGCAAGCGTTCGCTACCTTGAAGGACCTCCTGACGCGAGCACCTGTGTTGGGACAGCCTGACATAGAGGCTGCACGCAAGC